TCTGGCCTTGGCTCTCTGGCTCAGGAGGGACAGCTGGCTAGCCTCTCCCTGGCTTCCTCCCCCCCCCCCCCCCTTTTCAGCCTCCCAGCCCTGGCTTTGGATCTATAAGATCAGCCAGTTAGCCCCTCTGCTTTAATTCTTGATGATAATTCCTTCCTCTTTGCAGGGAGCACCTGCAAAGCTTTCCCTAGAGACCTCCTCCAGTCTCCTCCTCACTGCTCTGATTCACCGGATGTCACTCCCGACCTTTTTTAGCCCCCAGGTGCTGCCCCACCCTCTTAATTGACCAAACTGGGAGCACCCGTTTTGGCACAGGAGGACTGGGCATGCTTCCTTTACAGGGGCCAGCCACTCTGTGATAGGACTGTAACGCTACAGCAAGATGAGTCTGTGGCCTAGTGAAAGTGTGGGGACAGTGAAAATTATACTGAATCCAACATCAAAACAAGCTGCAGCGATCGTTAGACACTTTCACACTTTTCAGCATGGATTGGAAGTAGCTGTAGAATGCTGAGACTTTCTGCAGCAAGATCCCTAGATCCTTCAGTGGAGTTTGGATCTGGCTAAGGAGAAAGTTGGGTGTGTGGGAAGTCTGCTTCCTATTCTGTCCCCAGTCTGGGGCGAAATAGAGGCCTCCACCTCCTGGGCTCTGAGTCAGGCATCTTTCATGAGGCCAAAATTCAGCTAATAAAAAATTAAATTCTGCCTGGTCATGCTGTGCAGGTGGCCACTGCCTCGCTCAGGGGAGCTGAAAGCCAGTGTCCGGTGGGAGAAAGGAATGGGAAACCGAGGCTTTTTTCTCCCTCCCCTCCCTGTATTGGATATATTCAGCGAGACACTGATGTGAAATGCCTGCATTCAGTTTATACTTCATTGGCTTGACAAGCTATACAAACACAGCCAGTGTGTGACAGAGGTGGAGCTCTCAGGTCTGTGTCACAGGTGGCATGATCTGCCTAGGGCAGGGCTTCACCCTCTGTTGGGGGTTAATGCCCAATGATAGGTAGCTCGGTGTCATCTCCACACCTCTCCCTTGTCCAGGCCCAGCTCCTCCTCGTTGCTTTTTGACTGTCTTTTTTTGTCCGTGATCATTTGGGGACTTTCTGGCTCCTTTGTGTGCGGACACACTGCGAGTCTCTCCCTGTTATGCTGGTTGAAGTTGCTTCTTGCTAGGTTTGGAATGTGCTTTGTGACTCAGTTTCCACCTCTGGTTTATGATCACAGGTTCTGCATCTGATGAGAGTCTGTCATAGGTTTGCACCTCTCCCTGCAATGAGGGATCTGCTGGGGTGAGAGATCCTTGCAGGCAACTGTAGTTATTTGTCCATCCCTATGATTTGGATGTTGGTCTGGTACATAGAGCATCATTCACATTTGGGGGAGGTTGTATGCTCTCCTGGTTGGGAGGTGAGACCTGACCATGATGCTATAGGACTGAAGCATGGTTTTGTTTGAATTTAGTCAAACATCCCAGATTAATCCCCACCAACTGCTCACGCAGTCACATGTGCTTTCTGTGTGCCCTGCAGAACATTCCCTGCTGTCAGTAATGGTCACTAAGCAGAGTAGTTTAAAAGCTCAGCAAACTATTCATGGAGCAGCAGCTAATGGCAAACTTGAGTCACAATGCGAAGGTGGTCACAACCCCGCATTTGGGTGTGTTCCAATAAGTGCTGCCCTGACACCATCCCCTAGGGGCATAGAAATCCCGTCCAGGTTCATTTTTCCTCACACTCCAGAGGGGCTTCACCCCAGGTCCATTTCAAGGGGGCACAGGATGCTAGGTTCATCTCTTCCCAGGACGGCTATTTGGGGGCAGTCCTGGTCTTGGAAACCAAGTCTGTGCTGGAAATTACATAAGTCCATGGGCTTCTGTCCCAGGAAGCTAACAAAGCGCCTCACTGAAAAGGGGTTTCCCCTACTGTGGTGCAGCTTGTCTCCACGGGAAGTGCTGGTGCCACAAACAGCCTGTTGTTCACCCGCTGCTGGAACTCTAGTGTGACAGATGGCCCAGGTGCAGTTCCACCACGTGTATCCAGTAGAATTGATGCTCCAGCTCTTGGAGTCTCCCTTCCCCTTCCTCCTAGGTCACATCTCCCCCTCCTTCTCCTGAAGTCTAGGTCAGGAGCCCAGGGGAGCCTGGAACTGAATTCTCCTCTCCCCCTAGGGGAGGTTGTCTGGCTCCACTGGTGGGGTGAAGAATCTCAAGCCTCAACACTCATCAGCCCTGAAGTGCTCAAGGAGCGGGGGTCCATGCAGATGCTGGTTGGGACCCACTTTCCCCATGTAGCCCTCAGGGGAAGGGGAATGTGCTGGGCCACGTGCTGGCTGCTCTGTGTGAAAGTTCTCTCAATTGGTTTACTTGTATCTTATCTTCTAGTCAGTGTCCTCAATGACCAGTGCCTTGAGTTGCCCTGATTCTGCTGTAAGCCTCTTACTGCAAAACCCGGGGTCACCATTAAAAAGCACATCACACCAAGGAGCATTGCTGCAGACACTTGGCAACCAGCTGACTGTGTTAAAACATGGGAGGTTCTCCATGGATTTTTCCCCCCTTAGGGGCTGGCAGATGGCAGGGTTAAGGGGCTGCTCCACTGGTATGGGGTCCCTCAGTGACTTTCTTTGAGCGTTGAACTGGGATCTGTCTTACTGGGGCATTAACACAGTAGCATCCCTGTCAGCCAGCTCCTAATCAGGGAGGAGATGAGATCCAGCAATCCTTCCTCTCCTCTGTGGAGCAGTAGATCCACCCAGTGTAGGAGACAGCAGAGCTTAGGCCAGGGGCTCGGACACACTTGCTGGGCTGGTTTCTTGCTTTTGTGCCCTTGTGCTGGATGCTGGCGGACATAGGCCTGCTTGTGTCATTGCTCCTCCAGACCCAGCTAACTCCACTTGTAAATCCATCTGCCTTTCTACCTATCTAGGTACTTGGTAGTCCTTGTAACTGCAGTAATCCCCCTCCCCCAACAAACACACCCACCCTCCCTTGCTGTCCCATGTTTTCCAGGTGCATGTGACAAGAGCTCCTTTCTTGTGATCTTCCCCATGAGTGTCCCCCTCTCCCCTTCAATAGGGGGCAAGGTTACCAGGGGCACAGTGCCATCAGATAGGTGATCATGTGGTTATCAGATCAGTGGGAGAAGCACATGGAGACTCCCTGGCTGTGGGACCTCTGTGGGACAGGCAGGATGCTGGCTCTAGGAGCTGGTGGTGTCCTACGGTGGGGGCTGGTGGGCTGCCCAAGAGAGAGGCTGGGATGTATGACTGGGCTGGCCTGTGTGGTATATGGGGAGGAGCAGCAGGGCAATTCAAGTTTCACATTTAAGATGGGCAGCACTGCAGTCCTGCGACCCTCTCAGGCTGTGCTTGGGGCTGCCTTATAAACCTTGTTTCAAGGATGTGTCATTCAGCTGGAGCTTGGAATCAGAGCTGTGAGCCCAGGTAGGGGCTTTTTATAGACACAGTTATTCATTGGTGACTTGGGTGCTGTGTGTACATCTCATCACTGTCCTGCACGCCTCCTCTAGGAAGTAAAGGAGGACATCACACCTCTTGTCTGAAGCTGCCAGCAAGGACCCAATTGTACAGGTGCCTGACACCAGGCCGTCACCTGCCTGAAAGCTTTGACTGTAATTTGAATACTGTGGAGAGCAGGCAGCAGGCTAAATGGGCCCCTTTTCACCTCTAGTTTCTGTGGTGACTAACTCACTGCACACACAGGCCACTCATTTGGTTTGGATTTGAATTGCTGACCGAAAGCCAAGTAAGCCATTCCCACTGCCCCTTCGCCTGGTCGGAAGTGCGACTGCTTTTCCCTAAGGCTGGTCTCCAGAGGTTGAGCTGTGGTGGAATTCAGGGTGCAAATATCTTGGCTCCTGTTTTCCCAGCTGCCCTGACTAAACAAGGCTTTGTGCTGGTTCATGCAAAGTTTGTCAGGTGCCTCTATCATTTATTTGAAATTCAAATCAATAGCTGTGACTAGCAGCCAAGGTGTTGGAGTGAGGGCTGCCAAGGGACAGGAACCAGTGTGGTGCAATGGGCAGGAGGGCGGGGGAGGGGAGCACAGTTCCTGCTGTTAGATCAACCACCTGACTCTCTCCTCCCTCAGCCTTGCTGACAAGTATCTGGGTCACACACAGGCAGCCGTTGAAGCACATTGACACAGACCCATGCACTCTTGCTGCTCGGAGGGCAGTGCTGCCACCTGGTGGTGAAGGTCAGCTGCTGCATCTATTCTGTTGTCTCAGAGTTGAGCCTACAGGTGCTGTGAATCAGTGGAAGAGGATATAGAAGAGATATGGTCTAATTTCCCCCCACCCTCACCGTTCCTGAGGTCCCCACAGTGTTTCCAGGGGTGCAGGAATTAGAGATGTGACCTGAAGGGCATCCTGTCCTCCTGGCCAGAGGCTGAGGGGTCCCATGCAGAGGGTCAGTAGTGCAAATTTTCAGACTTTGCCCCATGTGATTTGGGCTTGGTGGCTGATTGGCTATGGGCACAAACCGGCTCTGCTGCCCACTTACCAGGATAGTCCCAGCTGATGGCAGTAGCGGCCTGAGTGCTGTGTTTGGTCTTTGCTGGCTGTAAAATGGAAACGGAGGTCTTTCCCTTCCCACCATGGTGTGGCCTTTTATTGTATTTAAAGTGAATTTAGTAATGTGGTATTACACCCAAGGCACCGGTATGGGCTCCAGTGACATGTTGCTGGCATTAAGCTGCTGGAGTGACTCATAGATGCCAAGGTCAGAAGGGGCCATTGTGATCATCTAATCTGATGTGTGTAACACAGGCCACAGAACTTCCCCCAAATAATAACTTCCCAGGAGTGGTAGTGCATGCACTGGGGGGAGTGCAACCAAAGTGGGGGCCTCAGAGTGCTGGGTGTTGAGGATGGGGGTGAGAGGGCAAGGTTGCTTCATGGTGGGAGGGGAGGCTGTGCATGTCATAGTGCTGGCAGGTGGGGGTATGTGGAGCTTGCTGACCACTCTCTTTGTGTCCCTAGACTCCACCTGCCCCACAAAGGCGTCCTCCCTTTCCTCCAGGGCAGCCAGCCCAGCCGTTGGGGATCCAGGAGGATAAAGCACAGGCCAGCAGTGTATAAGTATGTGGCATTTTTATTAGCTTGCCCAAGCCGTGTAGTTTCGGCAGCTGCAGCAGCATTGCTGATCAAGAGCTCTCCTCCCTCCCACCCGTGTCTCACCTAACGTTACCCTCTCGTGTCTGCACTAAACAAGGCTGCTGAGGGCCAGGCTGCCTGCCCACCTTGTGTGTCACTAACCTTGTCCCAGAGGGCAGCGCTCTGTGCTGGACTCTAATCTGCTAACGTGGCAGCCTTGCCCTGGTTATTGTGCTACCGTGAAGCTTGTGACCTTACGGTGTCACTGTCCATGAGCATTTCTGCTGGCTGCAGAGGTGGGGGACAATGGAGCAGCTGGTGGCTCCTCCTCCCCCCCCCCAACAGTTCCGGATTTATGACACTGTAGTGCCTAGAACCATGACAACTGGCACTCTGTAAAGACCTAAGACTGGTAGATGATCTAAATCAGTGGTTCTCAACCCGGGGTACGCAGAGATCTTCCAGGGGGTACATCAACTCATCTAGATATTTGCCTAATTTTACAGCAGACTACATAAAAAGCACTAGCAAAGTCAGTACAAACTAAAATATCATACAAACAATGGCTTGTTTATACTTCTCTATATACTATACACTGAAATGTAAGTGCAATATTCATATTCCAATTGATTTTTTTATAATTATATGGTAAAAATGAGACAGTAAGCAATATTTCAGTAATAGTGGGCTGTGACACTTTTGTATTTTTGTGTCTGATTTTGATAGCAAGTAATTTTTAAGTGAGGTGAAACTTGGAGGTACGCAAGACAAATCAAACTCCTGAAAGGGGTACAGTAGTCTGGAAAGGTGGTGAGCTACTGATCTAAACAAGACTGTCCAAGGGGTTGAGGGAGGGCATTCAGGTCAGATCAGGGCATGAAGCCAAGCTTCAGGAGAGTCTGAGCATGCCAGATATGGTGGGGTATGGATGGGAACCCCTTTGGTCAGGCCATGTCTGGTGTTAGACAAGTTGTGCCCCAGGAGTGAGACCTCAGACCATCTCTCTTCACTGAAGTGGGGCAGGACCTAGAGAAGTGAGTCCTGAGGGCAGATTCCATTGGGTGAGCTGAGGGGGTGTTCCCAGGTCTTGGTCCCAAATTCTCTTTAATTGTTCTTTGTAGTATGGTAGCACTCAGAGGCTCCCATTGTGCCCGCTGTGCTGGGTGCTGTACAGACACACTGGAGCATGTAGTGCCTGCTCTGAAGATCTTTGTTTCCTTGTTTTCGCTTAATGTGCTTGTGCCATCCTCTCTGCACAATAACCCCCGTGTTTCCATGTTTCCTGCTCTTCCCTCAGTGCCTTGTGTGGTGGGTGGCAGGTCAGTGGTGAGCAGTGCTTCCAGGCCAAGTCCCTTTGTGATCCCCAGTCCAGTGTCCCTCCTTTGTTTTAAAAACAAGGAGGAGTCCGGTGGCACCTTAAAGACTAACAGATTTATTTGTGCATAAGCTTTCGTGGGTAAAAAACCCACTTCTTCAGATGCATGGAGTGAAAATTACAGATGCAGGCATTACATTTTCACTTCATGCATCTGAAGAAGTGAGGTTTTTTACCTACGAAAGCTTATGCCCAAATAAATCTGTTAGTCTTTAAGGTGCCACCGGACTCCGTGTTGTTTTTGTGGATACAGACTAACATGGCTACCCCCTGATACTTGACACCTCCTTTGTTAGACACCAAAGGCTTAATCAAGCAGAGATGTAAGCAGTTTGCTGCTCAGTCTGGGACTTCTTGGAAGTCTTTTGGGTGGAGGCAGTGTGGTTGAGACGCTGTAACTTTGTGTGGCACTCCAGGGGGACAAATGAGCAAGCCCCAAATCTCTGTGAGGCGGAATGAAGAGGTTTGGAAGGAAATGAAGTGCTGCAGGTTAAACGCCAGGGGGCGTGGGCGCTCCTCTGTGCTGTGCTCGTAGAGGAGTTTGAGATGGAGGAAAGCTCTCCAGGGCTCAGTGCAGAGTTACTGCAATAGCAGTTTTCTGGTGCTTTGTACAGCCAGGCTCTACCATCCCCAATGATGAGACTCCCACCAGGAGATAATTCCTCAGCCTCGTCCATCTTGGTATTGGGACCTTTCTCCAGAGCTCAGCTTGTTGTCCCGTTAGTATGCTTGGCAAATTTGATTTAGATTTTTTTTTTATCATTTTGATGGGTGACACTGATGTTTATTTTTAAGTATTTTCCCCCAATTTTTATTGATTTAAACTTCTGCAGTTGCGGGAAATTATGGAGGGTCAGACAGTGGGTGAGGGGTGTCAGCCAGCAATTATGTAATGATAGTAGATGTTGAGATTCAGAAAGTTAAAGCTGTATTACCATTCAAACACACACTGTCCACAGCAGATGTCCAAATTTTCACCTTAAATCAAACTCCAAGTTCTCACACAGCATTTTTCTTACTTTGCCTCTCTACATTTTGATTATTATCAGTGGAAATATTTTTGGTCAGTTTATCTTTACAAAAATCTTAAGCCTTCCAAACCAACCCATTGTCACTTCATCTCATGCTCCAAGTTCTGCCCCAAGTTTCTTCTAAGGGCACGTCTTCACTACCCGCCGGATCGGCGGGTAGCAATCGATCTATTGGGGATCGACTTATCGCGTCTAGTGAAGACGTGATAAAATCGATCCCCGATGGCTCTGCCGTCAACTCCAGAAATCCACCACGGCAAGAGGCGGAAGCGGAGTCGACGGCGGCGCGGCAGCGGTCGACTCGCCGCCGTCCTCACAGCCAGGTAAGTCGACCTAAAATACGCGTAGCTGAAGTTGCGTATCTTAGGTCAACCCCCCCCCCCCATAGTGTAGACCTAGCCTAAGTCATCTTCCCTCTTTTGATATTTACCCCTCCAAACATTTGGAGACTTTTCTGACACATATGCACCTTAGCCCAGTTAGAGAGGCAGATTATTTAGCTTTTTAAAATCATTCCTCTGAGAGGAAGCTCAGCAGAGACTGCACACATGGGTTATTTAGCTCTGGCGTGGAGTGGAATGAATGAGATCAATAGCATTTACCCATTAGCTCTGGCCCCAGTTCCCCTGACGCTCAGGCCTGCCCCTCAGGGGCAAATACATAGCCAAAGGAAGCCATTAGCAGGCTAACTGGCTTCTATGCTGACAGCAATTCTTGGGTCCCATTATTGTGTATGTTAACCCTTTAGTGCCCATTCCTGCAACATCCACCCAGCCGTTGAGACACTGACGCCTGGTGTTTGGATTGCTCTCCTGTACTGGGGCTCCTAGAGTGCTTTCCCCAGCAGTACTGGAAGCGAGTGAGCAAAGGCAGCAGTCTGGGGTTGGGGGCACTAGCAGAGTCATCTTACTGTGGGCAAAGGCAGTGTCAACAAGCAATAGGCAGAAACCTGGCCAGTGGCCAAGTGTCTTTTTCCATGTTGCATGATGCCCTGGACTGCTAGCTCCTATCAGCATGTCCAGCTGTATAAAGGACAGGAGAGAATATTATGCCATTCTACAAATGAATGTTACCTCCTCGCCTGGAATTTTGGTCAGCTTGTCTCCAAAAGGACAGCACAGAAAAAGAAACAGGCCAGAGAGACTGTCCATGAAAAAGATTAGTGGCCTGGAGAGACTTTCGCATGAAGAGAGACTGAGAATGATAAATTTAGAAAGGAGGAAAATAAGAGGGGACATGATCGAGGTACACAGAATAATGAATGGTCTGGAGGAGGGAAATCGCTCTTCCTTACCCTTTCTCATAATACAAAATCCAGTGGACGTTTTGTGAGAGGCAGCAAATTTAGAATTACATAAATTTACATAATGCTTGATTAACCTGTGGAACTCACAGCCACAAATTATAAGTGACACCAAAGATTAAAAACAGGATTAGACGTTTACATGAATAATAATGTCCACAGTTAAATTAGCTAGGAAGGAAACTCCTCCTGGGCATGGGCCAAAACATGCTGTGCTTTGGCTTATGGTTAAAGCACTGGACTGGGACCCGGGAAGACTGGGTTTCGTTTCCTGGCTCTGCCATGGACTTCCTGTGTGACTTTGGGCAAGTTGCTTTGGGCCTGATTTTTCAGAAGTGCCATTGATTTCTAGCCCTCCAAGTCCTCTCTCTCCTCTTCATTACAGACTCTGCTAGATGGCTGGGCACCTGCAGGAACTGCTGCTTGCTCTGTGGTTACAGGTGCATTTCCCGGAATGGAGCCCAAGCTCAGTTGCTTGGAAAACTTGACTCAGGGCTGTGTGGTGGTGGCTCAGGGGGAACAGCCCTTTGGAGGATCATTGCTGAGAGCTGTGGTTTCTGCTCGAATGCATCAGACTGAAACTGGTGACAGCAATAGAAGGTGACAGAGCCCTTTAGTTTCCCCATCCAAACTGCACATGGGTGTTAGTCTCTCATGTATGTGGGCTTTAGAAAGAGATTTGCATTGTTGATTCTGTGCAAGAGTTTCTCTTTCCTTTCGAACCGCACTGGAGGGGACACCAGCCCATTTGGGAAGAGAGAAGAGTTCAGCCTCTATGGCCCCCTCAGTTCCCAGGCTCTGTGCTGTGATTGCCATTCATGCACTGGGAACTGGATGAGACCCTCAATTTATTCCACACTGGCCTCTAAACAGTCTTCTGGCAGACGGGACTTTGGAGGACTGGATGGGTCCAGGGAGGGGCCTTTGGCTGCTTTGCCTTTTCCTAGCACCTTGGAAGTGGAGCATTGCTTGTTCTTAACTCAGGATTATGAAGGGCTTTTCAGGGGGTGGCCAGAATCCACATGGAGCTGAGCACTTGCTCTTGGGATGGTGGTATTTTCACTTGCATGTCCACCTCCTGCAGGGCCAAAACAGGAAGTCTGCTTGTGACATTGTTGAGAAACAGGAATTGTTGGAGCCTCTGTTCTCTCCTAGGACTGTCAGAGCCGCTGGGCCCAGAGATGCAAAGTGTGTCAGTAGGACACAAGTGCCTCTGACTGATCTCTGCAGGGTGAATGTCACTGCCTACGATGGGGGCCTAGAAAGATCTGTGCTG